TTATTGATTGCCAGTTTACATTATTGTAAGTGGCATTTCTTGTTTGTATTTGTATAAAGCAGAAATAAAAACATGCTCTTTATGTCCATATGTATTAAGCTTTTAACATATCTAAAGTAGTTGCCTTGTCCTATTTACTCCTATGGGGTATTACTGCCAAGGGCATCAAAAAATGTCAAGCATTTTGCATAAGAAAGCTTAAAAAAAAACAATGGTGTTCTGACAATAAAAAGATGATATCACCAAACAAGTTGTAAACCAAAGTTACTTATCTAGGTAAAGGAATTGGCTATAATTAGAGATGAGCGAATCGAACATGACGAAGTGGAATTCGTTCCGAAGATTTGGAAAAATTTGATTCGCGCCGAATCCGAAGATTAGCACACTTCGGATGCACGAATCGAATTTTCCAAAAAATGGCGGCGACATGTGTGGCGACGGAGCGGGGGATCTCTGGGAAGGCGCGCAGACAAGGCGCGCTGACCCATAATGCATTCATTCATGACATGTGATCGCATTATTAGCCAATCAGCAGCCAGCCAGCCAGCACTGTGTAATGGTGGAGCTATAAATCGCGGCCATCTTAGAATTCTCCATTAGCCTTCGGTCATTCAAGAGAGACAGACCTGTGTGTATGAAGGGACAGAGTTAGGGCCACAGAGACTTTAGGGCCACAGAATCATTACTCAGGGACACAGAATTGTTACTCAGGGACACAGAATTGTTACTCAGGGACACAGAATCGTTACTCAGGGACACAGAATCGTTACTCAGGGACACAGAATCGTTACTCAGGGACACAGAATTGTTACTCAGGGACACAGAATCGTTACTCAGGGACACAGAATTGTTACTCAGGGACACAGAATCGTTATCAGGGACACAGAATCGTTACTTAGGGCCACAGCTATCAAAGAATCGAAAATTTAAAGTGACATACACCCTTTTTTTTTTTGGTGGCTGTCGTGCACAGTTGGTGCTGCAGTTTGCCGATTGTGCAAAATAAACTGACTTTCTGCTTCACAACCACTATTGTACGTTCAAAGAGTTAAATCCATTTACACGCCGGCTGGCGGTAATATTTTTTGGGTGATTAGTGTATTCCAGTGACACAAACGTACAGTTTCCAGCCAACGGCAAGCTGCAATTGACCGATTGTATACAATAAACTGACTTTCTGCTTCACAACCACTATTGTACGTTCAAAGAGTTAGATCCATTTACACGCCGGGTGGCGGTAATATTTTTTGGGTGATTAGTGCATTCCAGTGACATAAACGTACAGTTTCCAGCCAACGGCAAGCTGCAATTGACCGATTGTGTACAATAAACTGACTTTCTGCTTCACAACCACTATTTACGTTCAAAGAGTTAAATCCATATACACGTCGGGTGGCGGTAATATTTTTTGGGTGATTAGTGCATTCCAGTGACATAAACGTACAGTTTCCAGCCAACGGCAAGCTGCAATTGACCGATTGTGGTAAATAAACTGACTTTCTGCTTCACAACCACTATTGTACGTTCAAAGAGTTAAATCCGGTTTTATTTTTGGGGTGCTTATTGAATTAAAGAGTATGTCAGACAACACGCAGAGGAGTGGCAGAGGAGGCAATGTTTCAGGAGCGAGCAGACGTGGCAGCAGAGGAAGGGGTCGAGGCAGCACTAGTCGCAGCCAGAGGCCAGTGCTCCCGGTGTCATCCAGCGGTCGTGTCTCCACCGACAACCCTGCCGTCATCGATTGGTTGACTCGGTCGTCTTCCTCTTCCCAGGTCACCTCTGACACCTACAGCCAACGGTCGGTGGGTACGTCAGACACAACCGTTAGTTGGCATGGCCCGGGAGCAAGCCCACTGAAATCACGTGTCCTCGACCTGCCCCTGTCCTTTGGTGTTCCCTCACCAAGCGAAGTATCGCATGCTGTGGGCTCAGCCCCACTGTACAGTGAGGAAGAGCTAACAGAGGGCGGTCAGGAACGGGGGGAGACATCCGCCTCTTCAGCAGCCAGGCGAAGAAGTACTGGCGAGGAGAGTGGCTCGGTAGCCGGTCTAGAGACAGGTCTGTCTCCTGACCCACACGCAGCCGAGGGGGCTAGTAGTGACGCGGAGACCCTAATTGATGATGATGAGGCTGATCGCACTTGGCAGCCTCGTCGTCATCAGGCTATTGCTTCCGCATCATCAGGAGAAGAGGGTGCCAGCTTGCCAGCGAGCAAAACAGTCGGTGGGTTGCCCAGGAGGCAGCAGGGTCGCAGCAGTGTCAGTGGAGCCAAACGGCCACGGAGTAGAGCACCAGCTCCACTGCAGCCTACCACCACGGCCAGTAGTGGTGCCGGTGTGCACGGAGGAAAGTAGCAGTCAGCCAGTGAGGAGTAGCGGGGGGCAAAGTTTCCTACTCGGCGGTGTGGCAATTTTTCGCCAAGCCGCCCGAGGAAGTAAACGTAGCCGTATGTCGACTATGTGGCCAGAAAGTCAAGCGTGGCCAGGGGGCCAATGTTGGGACTACAGCGTTGCGTCAGCATATGCAGCGTCGCCATTCGGTGGCCTGGGAAAACCGTGATAAAGATACGGCGGTTCTGCCTGCCCCAGCCCCATCACCCGCTCCGTTACTTGCTCCGTCACCCGACGTCAATCGCCCTCTATCAGCCAGTCAAGGCTCCAACACCTCTGCTGAGGGGAGTTGTCGCTCGTTGGCATCTTCCGCTCGTTCAGATGCTCCTTCTCTTGCTACTCCTCTTCACGGATTCCGTCAGCAGTCTTTCTTGGAATCCGTTTCCAAGAGACAACAGTTTGCGAGCACGCACCCGACGGTGCAGAAGCTGAACGTCCTCCTGTCCAAGTTGCTGGTGCTGCAGTCCCTCCCTTTCCAAGTGGTGGACTCAGCACCTTTCCGAGAAATGATGGCTTGTGCCGAGCCGCGGTGGAGAGTGCCAAGCCGGCATTTCTTCTCCAAAAAGGCAGTGCCAGCCCTGCATTCACATGTAGAAGAGATGGTGGGCCAGTCTTTGAGCATGTCGGTCTCTGCCAAAGTGCACGGTAGCGCCGACGTGTGGAGCTGTAACTACGGTCAGGGACAGTACATGTCATTTACGGCCCACTGGGTGAACGTGGTGCCGGCACAGCCGCACCAGCAACTTGGACAGGTCACGCCGCTTTTGCCTCCACGTTTGCACGTCCTTGGTCCAGCAAAGATGTCCGCCTCTACCACCTCTTCTTCCGCCGTGTCCTCAGCCGCCACCCCCGTGCCAAGTCCCATTACCCGACCGGCATATCACATGTGCAGGGCGCAACGGTGTCACGCTGTGCTGCTCCTGGTATGCCTTGGCGAACGTAGTCACACAGGGGAGGAACTTCTGAGTGTAATGAACAGAGAAATCGACAGATGGCTGTCTCCGCGCAAACTGAAAATCGGAACCATGTTGACCGACAACGGAAAGAGCATGGTGTCTGCTCTGCGTCAAGGAAGGTTGTGCCATGCGCCATGCATGGCTCACGTGTTCAATCTGGTTGTCAAGCGGTTCCTAAAATCCACCATCCCACTGCAAGACATCCTTAAAATGTCACGTAAACTTTGCATGCATTTCAGCCATTCCTACACCGCAAAGCACACCCTCCTTGAGCTGCAGCGGCAGAACGGAATTCCACAGCATCGCTGATCTGCGACGTTGCAACAAGGTGGAATTCAACCCTACATATGTTAGACCGCCTTTACGAACAGCGAAAGGCCATCACCGATTTCCTGATGTTACAAGCGGATAAAGGTACTCCCCTGTGTAACTTCGATGTCAGCCATTGGCAGCTCATGCGTGACACCTGCCGCTTGCTCAGGCCCTTTGAGGAGGCCACGCTATTCGTGAGTCGGCAGGACTATGGGATGAACGACGTCATTCCTCTGTTGCACGTCCTGGAACAAATGCTGTTAACAATGGCTGGTCAGGGTGCGGTAGACGTGGTGCACAGATCTGAACGCCACATGACCCCTGTGGGGGCAGGACAGGAAGAAGAGGAGGAGGTAGAGGAGGACATTGGTGCTCAGGAATTATTGAGTGAAATGGGTGGTTTTTCCACTCAGCGGACAGGAGTGGAGGAGCAGGAGCATCTGGTAGAGGAGGAGGAGGAGACAGAGGACCCAGACGCACCGTGGCAGTATGCTGTGGAGATGGAGGCAGGGAGTCCCTCGCATTCCTTGGCACAAATGGCCCATAGCATGCTCGGTTGCTTGCGTAGCGACAGCCGAATAATAACCATCAGACAGAGGGATGACTTTTGGCTGTCCACCTTGTTGGACCCTCGCTACCGTTCAAAAATGGTGGCCTTTTTCACACCTGCTGAGAGGGAGGCCAAAATAACGTACTATAAAAACCACCTATGTAGTCAGTTGGTCTCTGCCTTTCTGCACCAACGTCCATCCTCAGACACTGTGGGCCCTGTGCGCTCGCGTTCCGCTGCCATGGCAGCAGGGGAGGGGTGGGGTGGTAGGAGCAGTGGCAGCTCCACCAGCAGCGGCTGCCTCAGTCTGCAGTCGATGATGAGTAGCTTTCTTCACCAGCGCAGTGAGGAAACTCAACCCCCGCAGCAGCAGCAGCATCAGGTGGACTGCAGGACCTCAAACAACAGGCTTGGCCTACTTGGACAGCACCCTGCAACCGCGGTAGACAATCCCCTTGACTACTGGGCAACGAACCTTGACCTTTGGCCCCAACTAGCTGAATTTGCCCTTGAAAGGCTGTCATGCCCGGCCAGTAGCGTGGCATCGGAGCGCGTGTTTAGTGCGGCAGGAGGTATTGTAACTCCGCGGAGGACACGACTGTCCACCCAAAGTGTGGAGAGACTCACGTTTGTGAAAATGAATCAGGCGTGGATTAGTCTGGATTTCAAACCACCAGTTCCTGACACAACTGACTAAATCCGCCATGAATCATGCCCCAAACATGTTATTATTTTTAACATAGGCCTCTGTATGGCCTTCAATTTAAGCTGCTTACGCTTCGCCACTCTGCCATGGGCCCCTGTACCGCCTCCTCTTGCTGCTGCCAGGTCCAGAGTGTGTCATGGGTCCCTGTACGGCCTCCCATTGCTGCTGTCTCCATCCCCACACTCTGCCATGTGCCACTTTCAGGTCTCCTTACACTGTTGGTGGGTTCCATTTTGTGATAGGGTGCTGTATGGCCTTCCATTGCTGCTGCCTCCACCGCCACCCTGCGCCATGTGCCTCTGTCGTCTGCTCACGCTGCTGACGGCTTCCGCTTTTTAAACTAGTCCTGTGTATGTCTTCCGAATACTGCTGCCTCCACCGCCACCCTGCGCCATGTGCCACTTTCAGGTCTCCTTACACTGTTGGTGGGTTCCATTTTGTGATAAGGTGCTGTATGGCCTTCCATTGCTGCTGCCTCCACCGCCACCCTGCGCCATGTGCCTCTGTCGTCTGCTCACGCTGCTGACGGCTTCCGCTTTTTAACCGAGGCCTGTGTTTGGCTTCCGAATACTGCTGCATCCACCACCACCCTGCGCCATGTGTCTCTGTCGTCTGCTCACGCTGCTGACGGCTTCCGCTTTTTAACCTAGGCCTGTGTATGGCCTTCAATTGAAGCTGCTTCTGCTCCGCCACTCTGCCATTGGACTCTTGATAGTCGTCTCCCCACGCTGCTGCTGGGGGGACTTTTTAACATAGGCCTCTGTATGGCCTTCAATTTTAGCTGCTTACGCTCTGCCACTCTGCCATGGGCCCCTGTACCGCCTCCTCATGCTGCTGCCAGGCCCGTAATCTGCCATGGGCCCCCGTACCGACTCCTCATGCTGCTGCCAGGCCCGTAATCTGTCATGGGCCCCCGTACCGACTCCTCATGCTGCTGCCAGGCCCGTAATCTGTCATGGGCCCCTGTACCGCCTCCTCATGCTGCTGCCAGGTCCAGAGTGTGTCATGGGTCCCTGTACGGCCTCCCATTGCTGCTGTCTCCATCGCCACACTCTGCCATGTGCCACTTTCAGGTCTCCTCACACTGCTGGTGGGTTCCATTTTGTCATAGGGTGCTGTATGGCCTCCCATTGCTGCTGCCTCCACCGCCACACTGTGGCTCCACACTCTGGTTTTGGCCCCGTGACTGGCCAAATGAGTGAAGTGTGCGGTGATTCTAAGATCGACGGCACTCATCTGCATGTCATACTGACTGACGGTATTATTTCTCTTCCCCAGCAGACTCCAAGGGCATTTAAATTAAAGGTACAGTGTTCTGCACTAATATAAAGGCTCTCTAAAGCCTAGAAACACCCTTTTTTTATAAGTTAAATTCGCGGCGAATATATTCGGATCGAATCAAATTTTTTCGGCGAATTCGGCGAATCAGCCGAACCGAATTTTTGAATAATTCGCTCATCTCTAGCTATAATCATTAAAAGGTCCTTCAGACTAAAGGTTCTCAGATGGCACCGGCATACATGGGGAATAACTGTTTCTACTAAACTACCAATTTACATGTTAATCAGGAATCAAAGTATTTCTGTTTTGTTTAAATGTAGAAAATGACTAAATGACTGTTGCAATAAATAAAGGGCTGAAATGGGCAAAAGTTATTGTTTACCTGTTGTTGACCTGGTACTGGGGATGGCATTGGAAGATGTCATAGCAGGAACACAGTCGTCATCCTGGGAATATCCAGCCTGTATCGCCCTTAGGTAACTGTGGCTTCTTGTTCGAAAACATCCTGGGAGGTCTAAAGCATCCATTGCATGAGAATCAACTTCACTGAACACTGACTCACACACCGACTCATATTGCCCATTAATTTCTGTTTCACTCATCTGGAAGAAGAGGACACATGGAGTTGGTACAGCAAATAACACTGAAGAAAATCCCATCCAATTAGAGCTGTAGATATTTTATCAAAAGAAAATGGTGATACAATGTACTCTAATTAAAGAAGAATGAAATACGTGAACAAAGGTGTTATCACTATGGGAACAGTGGACCTTGCTTTAGGGACAAGGTCCTTAAATATTTTACTACTACCACTGATGGAAGGATGGAAGATGCCTCAATCATTGTCAGTGTATTAGCTGTGTTTAAGGAGAAACATTTTGTTATTCCTGTGATGAGCCAAAGAAATATATTTTATGAAATCCCAAATCATAATTTCTCTATTCCAAAACATACTGAATGTATAGGGTGTACAGTATTTAAAGTGTTACTAAACCCACAACAGTAAAATCAGTCTGTATATGCAGTAAAGCATGATTGTTATACTCTTTATGGAACCTATGGGGTTAATCCTCTGCAATTTGTAAAAATGCTGTGTGATCCTGACTTCTCTGATCCTCCCTTTATTCCAGTGCCCCCCTCTTATCTCCTGACAAGACATATCATGTGGGGACACTCTGCACATGCTCAGCTTTATGTGTATTGCCAGATAGGTTTTTTCTTTCTTGGACGAGTGTATGTGATCAGCACAGGGTCAATAAGCACTGTCCAGACAGAAGTCAGGGATCCTGCATCTTCCTAGAGCAGAATGAAAACTCCTACAAACTTTAACATGTACTCTGCTGGACACTGATAGAAGTCACAAGACTGTTCTATCTTCTGATGAGAAAAGGTATTATTAAAGGTTATATTTACTAAAATAATTGCACTTCCAGGTTCTGTGTGCTGTGGGAGGCCAGATATAGTGAATGAGGGTCCTGGGTTTAGTAACACTTTAAATACAAAATTCACTGTACAACAATCATCAATTAAGTATTGTTATTAGAATAGTGACTATAAAGTAATCAGCCAAGGCAAAAGAGTGTTTAGGGAATGGCTACTATTGCAGTATTTTACTACATGTATAGGTAAAATGCACATTATATAATGTAATAGGTAGGGGGCAATCAGTTGATAAAACAATATAGCATATAAGAATCACACAAAGCAAAATCAACCAGTCACACACATTAGTGGCAGATGCGTAACATTTTATTATTAGTCAGTCAGTAGCAATGCAATGAGGAAATGTAAAATAAAACTTGGATATAAAAAAAGTAGAAAGTGGGTTCCTTTAGGAGGTCTTGTGCTATGCTCACATAAAAAAAGACATCTTCAAATTATACCCCATTTTACTTATTATAGTTACATTCTGAAATGGTCAGCACTGCTATACGGTATGTATTCCTTGTAATCTATGTGTTAATTATATTGTAGTTTAAAGTCTGATAACTACCCATGGAGAAGGGAGATTGGCATTACATACCATATGGTTAGTAGACCAAAAACTCTCTGCTATGAGCTGTCTTATCTATTTGCCATTTTTTTTAAAACAAGGACAAAATAGTGTGCACAGGGTCTGGCGTTTTAATTCAGAACATAACACTTTTTTTTTTTTTACTTTAATTTACAAACTGTGAGTTTATATGATAGTGTTAGAATACTATTTTTGCATGCAAGGTCCAATTTAAAAAATAAAAGGGACAATTATAAAAAAAAAAAAACTATGGAAAAACTCTAACACTAGAATAAAATGTGAGCCATTTTCCAACATAATCAACTGTAGTAATAAATGGGTGCATTCTTTAATCAAACACAATATTAACATGTGGATTATGCTGCAATCAATAATATACACAACAAATTCCTCATAACAGGCTCTGTACAAAAAGAGAAATAAGCAAAACAAATGCATCTGATATGAAGTCACAATCCATGAAAGAAGAAGGGAATAGACATAAATGATCAATAAACCTCTACATTAAAGTGATGCACTGACTCCTGAAATGGCAACGTGCCATGCAGACCTTGATTTTCTTTACAGTTGAATAACCAAATTCATTATGGATGATATGCAATTTTTATCTTTGAAGATGTTTCAATAAAATTAGAATTGATGCTATTCCCTTTTTCATTCCATCAGAGTCCACAAGATGGCAGTTGTTATGTCATAGCACTCCCAGAGAAGAAGAATTCTTATATAAATGATTACTAGTACTATGTTAATAGAATTTAAGATTTGGTCTGTTTTCATGTCAAAGGGAAAGTGTCCAGCAGATACAGCAATAAGAAAAGTATGTTGTACTTCCTACAGGTCAAATCTGTCTATTTTATTTAATAAAAGCACTGATAAGGTATTGGAAAGAATTTATACTATCAATATAAAAAATATTGTGCTAAATAGGGTATCTTTCCATAAGACTAATATAAGGCATTGCTGTTTGGTTGATTTGGGGCACTACATATTTTTTTTTTTCTGTTAAAACATTATTTTTCACAGCAAGTTCATCTCTTTTGTTTATATATTGGTTGAAAGGTCCAAAGATGACAAAATCTTCAAAATCAGGAAGGCAATTTTGAAGGATGCAAAAATATTTGCCATTATCAGGCACAAGTGCATTTGTCCTGTGCTGTCCCTTCTGGTTGACCTGCAGGCTGCTATTGTTCACTATGATACATTTCCAAGCCATTTACATGGTTATTTTGGGCACCGTAGGGTAAAATCTGATGGTATATTCACAAAAAATGTTTGAAAAATACTGCAAGCCACACCATGCCTTCTGTGCATTTTCCCTCCATTGCCCCTGTAGCCATGTGAACAATCCATATAGGTATCATAAGTGAATATGGATATGTGGTTCCATTGGCAACTAAGCCTTCAGAGAATCCCACTGAACAACAACGGAATCATCACACTCAGGGGAAGGAGCTGCCTAGATCAAGTACCTTTATGAATGTGTGTACAATGAAAAACATTTAGCACAAATAAAGTTGTACGCTTTGCACCATACAGTGGATGAAACAAAGAGGTAGGAACAATGTAAAATGGAACGATGGTAGGGGACTGGCTGTGATGCATACTTCATACACAGAATTCTGTCATTGCAAACATCAAGCGCTCTATCTGAGCATGCTGTTACAACAATGAATGCAAATACTAAATAATTAATAAACAAAAAATATGAGGTCCATCAAATGTGACCTCCGTTTTACATTGATGCACAATGAATGTGGCACAATCTTGCCTTAAAACATTTCGATAACACTTAATGTAATGGTAGAACAAGACTGTTTGAGTAAAGTGAACATTTTCTATTCATTTCCTTTATAAATTGTATTTTTGGATCCTGATCAAAATTGTACTTTTAGAAACAGACTGTGTAGATTAAATTTAGACATTGGAGAGATTAGTTGCAATAATTGCATTGCTCAGAATTAGCAGTGTATTTTAGTATGATGTATGTAGTCATTGCCTTAGAGAAATGTGCAATAGGCTACGCTGCTTTCACACAGCAGTGAAATAAGATCATCACAGCTGCAGAAAATGAACACAGGTGATGCTCTAGATTTGAAAACAGTGAATTAAAGATTTCTCCTAGCCTGGGAATATACAGGGTACTGCCACCTTGAGCTCAGGATAATCCTTTGAGGTAAAGCATTCTTGAAGACTTTCAATGAGGAAATCCTGTAAAAATAAGAAGAAAACATGTTTTGTTAGTTGCCATTGAAGATTAACATGCACAGTTTTTTTTTAAGATACTCCATTGTTCCAGAATATTCACTTCTTTGGCGATGATCAAGAAATTAAAAAAAAAATCCCCTAAAATATAACGTGTTCATATTAATGCTACATGTGATTGTTCCATATCAAGTATCACATCTTATTTCCAGAGTAGTAGTTATAGGCAGCATGGCATAGAAAGCAAAGTTGGATTAGTTTACTAGACCAGTGTTCTAGAAAGTGTGAGATGCAGACCAGTAATCCTTTTTCTTTTTTTAGAAATTCATTAAAGAGGTTTAATGAAATTTGGTCACCTTGGTTAGATTATATGAGTCTGATTTTAAGTTAGCATTGAGGCCCTTTCAGGTTTATCTGCAGTGTTCATTTTATTAAAAGTGGGGCCAATGAACAAAGTCTGATATTAGTTGGCTGTTAGTTGGGCATTTACCTATTTTGTTGTTTACATTGCATTTATTCATGCTCTGTGTGTTTGTAGGTCTCTATTTTTTTTTTGTGTATTTTGTTCATTTTGTGTATCTATTTGTGTTTAAAACTTTTATTTTCTAATAAATAAAATCAGATTAAAAAAAAATTAATCTTTCCTGTAATAAACTTAGAAAACTTAAGGACAGACTGGCATTTAAAGACAGACTGGACAGAGGATGTAAAGGTAAAAGGTTATATCTCTCTACCCCCCTTTTAGTGTCTATTTTAGAGACTATGTCCACTCTAATGTTAACTAACATGTTCTAGCTGATGCACAGTCATTAAAAAGACTAGAGGCATAACT